CTGACTAAATCATAATACTTTTGGAATTACTGAAAAGTGACAATCTTGGATTGTTGGGGCATTTGTAAATTTGCTGATTTTTATTGGAAAAACCTATCCCCCCCCCCCCTGGTGTTTTTATTGACAATTAGCGTGTTAATGGAATAACTGGCTTTCATTTTAACCATATCAGTGTATTGTTTGTACATACTTCACATTTTGTAATGTGTTACCTTGTTAGTGATCAGAGGCTGGCAAGTCAGAAAATGTGGTATATTCAGGGAAAGCTTAATGTTCTAGGGTGGTTTTAGGGGGGGTATGTGCAAGGCTCACTGAATTCCACTGTAAGAATTCTGGATTTGTTCTAGGACTCAGATAAGGAATGAAAACAAAATTACTGACAATTAGAATACCTGTGAAATTAGACTGTCAATATTCCTGGTGACTCAGGACCCAAAGCTCATTGGCCTGCTGAATCCATTGGACAAAAAGAGACAAAGACCTGATGGATCTCTATCCACTGTTATCTTCCTGTCTCTAAACCCCTCTTCCATGAAGCCAGTCACAGAACCTGGAAATCCATTCTATCTTCTTTGTAAGGAGTTTGCAAGGAGTTTCTCTGACCTAATAGGACAATAGAATATCAGTCTTCATTCAGGGGTTCCTACCCCAAACCCAATAGGAAAGAATGCCATAGGAGGCCAAGTAAGTTAGCTGGACTGACTTGGCTGAGTTTTTCGTAAGTCCATTGGCATTACCTTTTTACCTTATTTTTTAAATTAAATTAATTTACTCTTATGCATTTGAGTGTTTTGTTCACATGTATGTCTGCACCATGTGTATACCTAGTAGCCTTAGGTGCTGGAAGAGTGCATCAGGACTGGAGGTACAGATGGTTGTGAGCCACCGTATGGGTGCTGGGAATTTGAACTTGGGTCTTCTGGAAGATCACATAATGCTCTTTAACTGCTGAACTATCTCTCCAGCTCTTTCTAGCACGTGTCTAAATAACTGTTCATTCTTTAAATCTAAGCATAAAAGGGATACTTTCTCTGAATCTTCATTTCTGGTTTCTTCTGTCACATAAAATGTTGACTAAATTTATTATCCTTTTAAAAATGGTTTTTCTTGGTGTTCCAGAGATTTCTGATAATATTCACTCAGTAAACATTGATGTCTTCTGGACAGTGGCTCATGTATAGTTTGGGCTTCCCAAGTTAGAACTTCTGTGCCTTTCGTTTGACTATTAATAGTACCTGCCCTAGTTTTCTTTCTATTGCTGTGATAATGTTATGGTGATCAAATCTACTGGAAGGACCAAATACTTAGATTCGATCCAAATTTAGATTAAATGAATTTATTCTTAGTGCTGGCAGATGGATGGCAGCCTTAGAACCAACACAGCAAGCTATTTGGAGGTGGGGTGAAGTGGGATTTTTAAAGGCAAGCATGGGAAAGGTATGATTCATAGCTACCAGTGGAATCCACAGCTGGGCAGGAAAACTATTTTATGTCTCTCAGTTGTTCTTACTTTTCCGCTATATAGTAATAAAAAAGACCATTTTATCCCTTTCCCATTGCAATTTCAAGTTTTACAGAAGTAAAGGCAGTGGTTAATACCTAACAGCTCATTATTTTATTCTTATCTCACCTGCAGGAGACTAGGATCTCCCATTTATTCCAGAGCAAAAGGTCAGCAGCCGTTACGGGATGATTCCTGGCTCCATATTAAATTTCTTTAATCACCACAGGGAACCTGTGTAAATTATCACTCGAGTCTGAGCACTCTAGTGACTTGGATGGAGCAGTTCATTTCTGTGCAGGCAAAAACAGTGCCATAGCGCTAACTATCAAGTCCCCACAATAAATAAAACAGCTCAACACAAGGAGCTTTAAGGAAGCGAGTTTATAAGGCTCACTTCCAGATTACAGTCTGTTACTGTAGAGAAGCTGAAGCAGGAATTTGAAGCAGCTGATCCTACCCAGTCAGGAGCAGAGAATGAGTACGGTGTGTGCCTGTGCTCAGTTGCTTTCTAGGCAGTATGGAACTCAGACTCAACATAATCAAGATAGTCCCCCAGGGACATCCCCATGGGTCAGTTTGATCTAGAGATCCCTTATTTCTCTCTTCTCAAGTAATGGATTCTAGCTTGTATCGAGTTGATTGTTGAAACAGCGTAGTAAGATCTTCATAAAAATTTCAAGTGAAAAATCCTTTCCTGTTCACTTCATTCTCTCTTCAGCCTCCTTTAACTCAGCTTGCTATTTATAACCCCCACCCCCCACCCCCTAAGCATCTTCTCAGATTTCTCATGGGAAATTACTACCAACAGACTAATGCCATGTAAGAGTCAACGCCTTGGAAAAATAAATGGTAGACTTTGTCTACTTAAAGGTTCTAAGTTTTGTTTTATTTGAGAGACTGTCTCACTTTGTTGCCCAGAGTGGTCTCATCCTTGAGTTTTGAGTGGTCCTCTTACCTCAGCCTTTCAATTCCCAAGTGCAAACTATCATACCTGGTTATAAGTGTTTTGTTTTTATTTTTGTTTTGTAGATAGGAGCTTAATGTTTCCAAGGCTGGCCTCCAACTTGATAATAAGGAGGGAAGGGGGCCGTTAAAGGTTAGGCTCACAACCAAAAACATAAGAGGAGGAAGGAAAGCCTCGAGCATCTGATCCTTCTGCAGAGATTACTGGCTTGTTATGTGGTCCTGGGGATGGAACAAGGGCATGACCATTTCAGATAGGTTAGCTGGCCATAGAATTCCTAGGCCCAGTGGTCTCCATTCTCCAACCTCAAATATGGGGTTATCAACATATATAGCTATGTTTTTAGTTGGTTATGGTTGAATTATAACCCTTGAGAAGTAGAGAGGCAAGAGGATCACTGCTAGTTTAAGGTTAGATAAGAGTATATAGTGAGACCCTGTCTCAAGTCTCTGGGTATTTGGGGACCTCTGTCCAGAACTGGGGTAGTAGGAAAGCAGTGATACATTTTTTACTATACTGGATGACATAGTGACGTGCTCAGCCAGTGTTCTCATCTTTATACCCTGGAGGTCCAGAATTAAACTTCTCTCAAAGTTTGTCTCCATGGCCTATTCCTTGCAAGATATTTTGGTGTGCCACCAACTCTAGTATGTCTTCTCCCATAACCCACCTGATTTTAATGCTGTATTTTTACATTTACACAACACTTGTGACAGCAGGGAATTGTCCCCCTGCCAACTTATTCTCTAATTTTGTGCCTTCTGGCTATCCTGCTCTCCCATTCTACTAGTTGAAGGGCTGAGTTCCACAAGACTGTCCCAGTTCCCATTCCAGAGTCCTACACTTCTGGTGACTAATGGCAAATTTAAGGGGGTATCTTGTAACAATCCCTTCTCATTAAAATCCAAAAAAAGGATGTGGTGGATATAGCCAGCTTTTTTAAGGGTTGGGTGGGGTTTCCATTTCTAGGCAGTGTACTACCCTCTGAGCACTTGTATCAAATCTCAGTACTGTTTCTTGCAGTGTTAAACTCTGGTTGTCCATGGTGTCTAAAGCTATAGGTGGTGTTGAAAATTGTGTGCCATTGGCATTGAGTGTTTCCTGAGATGGCACTGAGTTCTTCCTCTTAGTATATACTCAGATGTGAACAAAAAGAAAGTAAAAGAAGGTACTTCTGTCACTCAAGAAACTGCAAGTGACTTTGTAATTTATTTATTTATTTTCTACCAGGCACAAAGGTCAAATACTATTTTTTTCTTTTTTGTTCTTATGGCTAGGCTAGCACAGCCATAGACAACACAGGGTCCTGGAAAGGAGGGCAATGGTGTGGTAGACAGAGACATAGGACTATGAGTCTGGCTTCACTTTTCAAGAATGAGTAAGTTTTGTTTTTCCCACAGCTTTAGGTATCTACTAAAGATAGAATTGAATGCAAGTCTACCTTGTCCCATTCCCAGAGTTCCTCTTCCATACTTCTCTGTTAATGTGTACTGGAGACATTCTTCCTTAGACTTAGATATTATCTTATGCCTGTGGCTTTTCTGAATTCATGTAGCATGCTCAGTCGGGATTTGTGCTTGAGAAAGGAACTGTAGACCCTCTGGATCCTCATAGTTTTAACTTTGTATTTTGAGATAGGCTTCACTAAACTGCAGCCTAGGTAGGCTTTGAACTTACTCTATAGCCTAACTAGGTCTTGGACTTGATGTCTTCCTGCTTCCGCTGTTTAAGTGCTGGGATTATAGACATGCACAGCCAGGCCTAACTCAGATAAATTTATTAGAATGTCACAAGTGATATAGCCATAAAGTTAAATGCTATGCAGATAGACCATTTTTAGTGAAATGCAATAACCCGTCTATGTATGATAAGGAAAAACAGACAAACAGTAGATTGCGTTTGTCTCAAGATGTTTTAGATTTTGTTTCATTCTTCAGATAGGGTCTCTATTTTCTAGATATTGTCACAATACTGTTTAGCCTCTTGAGTAGTTGAGCACAGAGCAAAACCCTATAGTGTTTATGCTTAGAAATTTTATGAAAAAAAAACAAGATAATATTGTATATACCAATAGAATTATAAGTTGGGAGTGTACAGTAAGAATAAAGTATTAAAATTAGGAGTAACAGGCCATGGAGATTACACACACACAGAGTTAAGGGGTAGAGTGAATGCTTAGCATACTTCTCTTTAAGTCCATCACCTTCACCTCAAGTAAAAGCAGTAAAGTGCCGCTTTAACAGGTGACAGCTGCTTGGTGTGGGTGAATCTTTACACATTTCATTGATCTTGACAATTGGCTCAATTCTTGGTATAGCTTCCATTACTTCTATCTAGGTACAGCTTATTAGTTACCATAGACATAATTTGCTTCTATTGTTCTTCGAAAGTCTGTCTAAGCAAAGTGATAACCACAGATTTGAAGTCAATCTGGTCTAGTTCTAGGCTAGAAAGACTGTCTCAAAAAAAAAAAAAAAAAAAAAAAAAGTCTGGGGATGGGGGGGAAATTTTTTAATAAAAGATCTTTATTTGTATTTCTTGCAGATTTGTGACATTAAAAACCACAGATATATACAACACTACTACTAAACCAGATCAAATATGAATTGGAATGGAAAACCAGAGAATGCTGCCCAAACCACCACCATATCCTAAAGGCCAGTCATCTCTTTTACAGCAGTTTTTAATGCCTTCCACAAGTTCTCAAAGTTCTTTCAGCTGTCTCCCACATAACCAGGAAGCATGCCTGTATCCCACTAATTCAAATTCAGTTTCACAGCCACTTGTGAATGTCAGGAGTTATATAACTCCTCAGATCTCTGTTTCTAATATGCATAATAGGACAGTTGTGGCCTCACAGACTTCAGTAGAAAGAGTCACATATACAAATGTTAAAGGAGCCCAACAACCAAGCTACAGTTTGCAAACAGTGTCTTCAGGAGTTATGCAAAATGCCTGGATGAATTCAACAATGAGGAATTTTATGCCTTCTCATACAGAGGCAACTGTATCTCATAAACCTGATGGAGGTACTAATATGCCTTATATACATGTACCACAGAGTCAGCTTATCACATCAGATACCTATTCTGTGCAACTACAAAGCGACTCCTTCAAATTCTGTAAGAGTTCCTGTAACTTACCAAGGAAATCAGGGACTTAACCACTCAATACCAGATGAGCTTGTTGGCTGGACACAATGCTCATCCAATGAGCTACTTATCCAGATTACAGGCCACCTCCAAAGCAATATCCTTATTTACCACAAAGCTTTGTGCAAGACACTTCAGTTCAGAAACAAAACTTTGTATCATCTACATCATTACAAGTTAAAAATCATCAGCTTCCACCTTCTACACAGACCTTACCATCAAAGCATCCTGTACCTGTGTCGTCATATCAGTGTGCTGCAGAAACCAACAAAAGACTCCTGCCTCTCCTTACAGCTGTAGTATGGAAGCCAAAATGTGCAAATTCTCAGTCTGTTTCTAGACACTTGCCTGTGGAAGTTCCTCCAGAGTACAGAAATGCACTCATCTGAGAAAAAAGAAAGATGCTTACAAAGTGTTTGAACAGCAGTGGCAGAACACTAGTAGAAATTTCAATACAATTGGAAAATTCTGTGAGTTGAAAATAAATACAAAACAGTCTTACAATGACTCTGCTGGCTCTTCTGGGGATGGTGTTCAGACTCTTGTTCAAAATAATCAAGAAGAAAGAAAGTATTCCTGCAATCCAAGTACAAATCAAATAATAGACACAAATGTCACAAAGAAAAGCTGGTGAAGGATATTAAATCACTAGTAGAAATTAAAAGAAGTTTTCAGAACTTGCAAGAAAAATTAAAATCAATAAAGATATTTTGATGGCAAATGGTTGCAGTAAAACAGCTAATACTTATACTGAACCAACGCGGCATTCTGAATTTCAGCAAAAGAAATGTCTGCTAAAAGGGACAGTAGGTGTTCCATGGAATTGCTAGCAACATGTCTTTCTCTTTGGAAAAACCAACCTCAAAAACCACAGAAGAAAATGTTCCAAAGCCTTTAGAAGAAAAACAATATAGTGTATCGAGAACCAGTACAACAGCAATTGGATGTTCAAATCCCACGAATGAAGTTCACGTGAAGAATTTTGTTCGGGTGTTAGAAATCCTCAGAAAATGACCACGTCATCACAAACAGTCCTGTCAGTTCTCACACCGATTCACTAGTCTTCAGATGTAGCTGTTGGAAAAGGAACAGAGCTTCAGATTGCTGTGGTTTCACCTTTAATTCTTTCAGATATCAATACCATACCTGGGAAAGAGGTGGCACCTGAAGTTGTACCTGAAACTGTGTACCCAGTTGTTAAGGAAGGCAGTGTTTGTAGCTTACAAAACCAGCAGGAAGAAAATTCAACAGTAACTGCTGCTTTGCCCTATGATAGTCGGGAGCAGTAGCAAAGTAATCCTGAATCCACTGAGCTGTCCCTGCCTGTGCATGAGGTAAAGCAGCACAAACCAACACAGAGTGATCTAGCTGTAGTTGATAGTGGCCTAGGGAAACACTCTCCCCTGGGCGCTGACGCTTTGCCTAACCCCTAAGGACAGCAACACTGTGAGTGGGCCTATGTTACAGATTGAAAGTATCTGTTCTCTTGCAGAAGGAGATGCATCTTACAATTCCCAGATAGCAGAGATATTCAACTCTGTACAAAATGAGCACCTGAAACTTTCACCCTAATCAGCAGGCAATTAATAGTCAACAAGAAGAACAAGTAGATGACATTGCTGAAAATAAAGACTGTAGTTTCAGGAAGATAAATGTATGCCATGTACAGATGTTCCTCATGAAGTCACTGAGCACCCAGAGCCACTACAGCCTTCAGAGGCAGCATCTAGTGAGTATGTTAAAGCAAACAAGAAACCCTAGAGGAAGCAGTAAAAAGGAAAATACTGGTGAAAAAAGACAACTAAGAACATGTGTTCACCTGCTGTTGTTCAGCAAGATCCTCAACCTCAGGAAACTGGTATGGCCATCAGTAAGTCCAGAGACAGTCTTCCTGTAGTAAATGAGATTAATGATGAAAGTGAACCTGTCTCATGCCTACATGACCAGCTGTCAGAACTTCTAAAAGAGTTCCCTTATGGCATTGAGACTATTGCCAGGCCTGAAGTTTATGTGAGACAACAAAAGACACATGAAATAAGAAAATCAAACTGGTAGTAAAACTGGTAATGTATCTGGGGAAAACGCAGACCAAATAAAAATTACAGTATTAAACTCAGAACAAATCAAAGAATTATTTCCCTGAAGAGGATCGAAGCAAGTGACTTAGACAGATTGGCAGAACTCAAGAACACAAAAGACAGTGCAGAAATAAAGGCCTGTGTGGTTCACAGGTCCCCAGAGAAGAAAAGTCACAACCCTGGAATGTTGGATCTAGAGAAAGACAAAATCCATTGCTGTGCCTTGGGCTGGCCTCAATGGTTTATGAAGGTGTGCCACAGTGTCAGTGCAGCACCACGGCAGAAAAAACCTGTGTTCTTTGGAGGTCACCAATTGCAAACAAGGAGAGCAGGCCTGTAACAGTGGGATCACTATTTTTAAAAATTAATCCTATTTCTGGTAACCAAAAAGTCCTCTGACCCAAGCTGAGGAAGGCCATTTTTCTGATAAACATGTTGAAAGATAAAAACATCTGAAACAAAAGACAGCTCATCAAAAGGGTGGAACAGGAATTAACTGGTAATTTTTCAATGAGATGTCACCAGAAAGATAAAGATAAATCGAAAGCAGGAAACAGAATAGCTCACTGAAAATAGAGCAAAAAGCAAGTCTTTCTTCTAAGTGTGACAAACCAGATCCCTTAAAAAGTAATAAAAAACCAACCCTGGAAGCATTTCATGTGGTAACTTCCAACTCTGATAAAAATATGCCAGCATTTTCCTAAACAAGATTCTCAGAAGAGCCTTCCAGAAGAAACACACATTTCAAGACTCAGATCCGAGTAAAAGCACATGCAGGACTTCTGCCAAATAAAGATCCATGCAGGAGGAAAAAAAATTTGGTACAGTCAGTGTCACAAGAAAATATTTAAGTTCAAAGCAGGTAGCTCCAAACTGAAATATTTTGAAAAAGGAAAACTGACCATGTGCTTATCTCAGATGTGGAAATAAAAAAGAAGAAATATAGAAAAACAAAGAGCAGAACAAAAATGCTGGAGGCACACTAAGAGTGTACAGCACTCTGACAGAACCAAATGAAAGAGCCTGTGCTAAAGAAAAGGTGACAAATTCTGAGCCCTCAGACTCAAAGGGAAGCTCCTCTAAGAGTAATAGAGTTATAACTTTGTGCAGGAATATTTACAGCGGCAAAAAGACAGGCTTGTACATGGGGACGCTACCTCCAAAAACATAGGTGTAGAAAATGTGCCTTGTGACTCAGAACACATGAGTTCAGTAAGAATTCTGTATCACAGAGTGTCAGTGCAGAGACTAAAAAAGAAACAGAACATAATTCCACCAGCCATGGCCAAATCTCAAGACCCATCATTCTGAGGAGGCTAAGACATACAGTATGTCCAATAAATAATAGTAAAAAAGGAAGATTTGATGGGAAGCAGCCGGACATAGCCTGTATTGGTGTTAGAAACCAAATTGGAAAGATTGACCAGTATGAGTAATAAGTCCAGCCAGATATCTCCCCAAGTAAAGGAGTGAAGAGAGGGAAACAGTACAGATGAGTTGCATTCAAATGTACCAGATTGGAAGCATTTGTCTCACCAAATTGGACAGTGCATCCAAGAAGCTTAGGAAAAAAGAGAAGAATAGGGCATGTACAGTGACAAACGATAATTTAGACAAGCCCATGTTGGGTTGGTTATGTCCAGATGTGTTACTGAAGAATACATGCTCCATTGGCAAACAGGATGATCCAAGGCCTGGTCCTGAGGAAAGACAAGCATCTGTGCGAGGTTCAGTATAATTTTCTTTTTGGGGGACGGGGTGGGGTTGGAGAGACATTTCACAGTTCAGGCTGGTGTTAAATTGCTGTATCATCAAGGTTGGCCTTTTAACTCTGATCCTCTCTTGTCTCCCATGTGGTAGAAATATGCAGGTAGAAACCACAGGGCCCAATGAATGCTTTTGTGTGAGGCACAGTAGAGGTGTAGTCCTAGGAGTGGGTGAGTGGGATGGGCTAGAGTCGGGGGTGACAGTGAGTCCGTGTTCATTGACCAGCATTTGTTGTGTGTTTGTTGCTCCTTATTTTAAATTCTAGTAGATTAGCACTGGCAAATTTTTCAAACATTTCCTGAACACGAATATTTTATTAAGTCCTAAGAACCTGCCCTGTGAAAAGCAGTTCTAAAAGTATCACGTGTACTTTTGCTTCAAGGAGATTTGGATTTGTGGTATTCGTGGTCAAACCACTAGTACTATACCACTGAACTGCAGCCACAGCCAGTGTCTTGGTTTCAGTTTCCTTTTTGTAACGGTAATTTCAAAGCAGTGTGTATGTGAAACTTTGTTCTAAATACTGGGATGTAATATACCTTGTTAATGGGGGTCAGCTTGTTGCCATCTTTGAAATGAAAGATGAAGATGTTATCCCCAAAGCTAAAATGGTAATATCTAGTCTATTTATAAGTTAAAAGACCTGCTAAGAAGCTGTAGTTGTTTGAAACAAATTAATCTCAAGTTAGGCACAAGTCTAAATGGTATTGAGTGATGCATGTGGAATGCTGGAGGCAGAAGAATCCAAAGAGTTTTAGGCCAGCCTTAGCTATAAGGCGTCATCTCAAAAACTAAAAAAACAGAATAGAAATCATGAGTCACTTCCATGAAGTAAAGAATTACAGGAGAAAATGAATGAATAGTTGTGATCATAGGAGGTTTTGAAATTGTGGATATTACAGCTAACACATTGTGTTGAAAAGTATAGGATTTTAGTTAATGTTTTTAGTTTTGTCTGTGATTTTTTTTTGTTGTTGTTGTTGTTGATTTTCTCCCGATGATTGTACCTGTTGGTGTGATGAAGCAATAGTATATACAATGTGTGTGTGTGTGTATGGTGATAGGTACAGAACAAAAATAATTTTTATTTAAAATGGCTGACTTCAAAACATGATGTCACACACCTTTAATTTCAACACTGGAAGGCAGAGTCAGGTGGATCTCTGAATTTGAGACTAGCTTAGTTTACATAGTAAAGCAGCTGCTACCAACCTTTAAAATGCTATGTTTCATATATGGTATTTAGGTATAATATATCATAAAATAACCCTGTGATGTATTATAGGCAGGGTGGATTTTTTCATTATGCTAAAATAGAGGAGTAAAGATTATATTTCTGAAAACAAGTATTTAAACAGTTTCAGGAATAAAAACTACAAAGAAGATTGGTTAAAATGTATCCCTACAAGGACAAAGATGACGAATCAAGTGAAGAAATAGGTAAAACACCATCTGTTTCCTTTTGTTTTGTTTTTGATTTACCAGTTTATCTGTAACATTGATATTATAATTATAGTATTATCACAATGCATGATTTTATTTGTGGTATTCTTTTTTAGTCACTTGGTGTTTGTTTCTGAAGGTAAGAAAAGGTTCTGTTTTCTCTGTCAGGATGGAGTGGGAGACCAGGATCTAGTTCCCTTTAACAGAAAAATGATACTATTTGTATTATTGACCTCGTGAGGGTTAGAACATAAGGTATTGAATTTTCTGGTTCTGAGGCTGACCTCAATTTTGACATTATATCAAATGATATATAAATAAGAATATTGTGTGATTTCCATTAAACTCTTAACTAAGATCTGTGGCAGACTGGATTGGCCTCCAGTAATGTCTGCCAACTTCCATTTGGTGATTTGCAGGCTCATTTATTCAGTTCCCTAAGCAAGGTAGTCAGGACATTCCCATTTGTCATGTGGCTTACTACATTGCTAGATTAGGGACTTGAACCGGTCCCTCTCTCTTCCAAGCTCCATTAAAGAATAGTGGAGCAAATATTTTAAAGGACAAAGACTAGTACTCACCATGAACTTCTGATCCTCTCACATGCTGAAGGTTTATGTGCTGCTAAGGAGCAGAATCCAGGGCTCTGCACATGTGGAAGGCAAGAACTTATTATCTGGATCCTCATTATCTGTTTCATTTACAATGGAATAAATATATTTCAAGAGAGTAGAGCTGAGGAGTTATGTCTTAGTTTTGCTTAGATCTGCAAAGATAGCTAAGTGGTGGTGACACATTTTTAATCCCAGTACATGGAAAACAGAGGCAGGTGGAGCCCTGTGAGTTCAAAAACCCTTGTTCTACACATTGAGTTCTGGCAGCCAGAGTTGTTAACACAGAGAAACCTTGGACAAAAAAAAAAAAAAAAAAAGTTTTCTCTGTATAGCCCCAGTACTTGAGGGCATGAGGCAGGACGATTATAGAGAACTGGAGACCAGCCTGGAGTTACAAAACAAAGTACTGTCTCAAAGAGGTACAAAAATTGGGCTGGGGATAGATAGCTCAATAGGTTGAAGTGCCCCATTCATGAGGCTCTGTATTTGACACTCAGTACCAGCCCATTAGAGGAATAGTTAAAGCAGGATGAAAAAGTGTTAGGTATAGTGAAAGAGGGAAGAGGACCCTGAACTGAGAGAGCAACTCTAATGCCTGGAATCCAGGGAAACAAGGCCCATGAAACATTAACTAAAGGGGTAAATGAAAAGGAAGGCACAGGGTTTTCTGAGGCTGTGAGTCTATCATAGCCATAGTAGAATAATAAAGTTACCTATTTTCCATTCATTGTTTGGAGACGGCCAAGTTCCTTCCTCTCCAAATCCCTCCTCTCTCCTCCCTCCCTCCTCCTCTCTCCCTCCATTTGTCCCTCCCTCACTTCACCCCTCTATCCTTCCTTCTCTTAAAAGGTGGTATCTTAATATTGTCCATTCTGGCCTTTAATATTGCCCATTCTGGCCTTGAACCTTGTGTGTAGTTTGTTGATACCGACCTTGGTCACCCTATCTCCACCTTCTTAGTGGGATTGCATCATGTATCTGGATACCTTTCTGTATTTTCTCCATTCTGTTTTTTTGTTTTGTTTTGTGGGGGGAGGGTATTATGTGCATGTGGGTGCAGTGCCCTCAGAGTCCAGAAAAGGACATTTGGATCCCCTTCGTTTATATATGCAGTTGTAAACCCTAACCATGCAGGTGCGGGAATCAAACTTGTCTAACTCTTGCCCCCACCCCTCCCCAGACAAGTTTCATTATATGTTGCCTTGATTGGGCTGGAACTCTCTTTGCAGAAGCTGGCCTCTTCTCAGAGGGTCTATACCTATACCCAAGTGTTGGGCTAAAAGCAGCCACCACTAAATCATCCCCACTTCTTCCTTTGGTTTTTGAGGCAAGTTCTTGCTGTGAAACTCAGATAGCCTTGAGCTGAAGATCCTCCTGCCTCAGCCTTGAGAATCTGTGATTATAGGCATTTGCTGTCATTTCAGCTATCTAGCTCATTTTCTGCCCCCACAGATAACTGTACATTTTCCATCTTATTTTCCATTGTGTTTGTCATATGGAACATTAAGTATCAAGTTTTATTTTCTCAGATCGGACTGATTCCAAGACTTGCTAAGGAAAAGCTTCAGTGCAGATGAATTTGAAATGCTACAAAAATCAATTAAAGACTCAAATGTCATATTCCAGGACCTATAAAAATGTACCTAGAAAGAGAAGCAAAAGCCTTGGGAGCAGTCCAGTGAAGTAATCACAAATTATATGGTAGCTGTGCTTCTACACTTGGGGAAATCCTAACTTTCTTTTCAGGCTTTCCCTTGCTGGAAATAACTCAGGACTTTCACATTTGGAATTCTCAGCCAAGGTGTTTAGTTACAGCTTGTGTTTTTCATAGATACTGTGGTAACTGAAATGTTGGATTAGCTGCTGATGAGCAGGCAAAGAAATAGATTGCATTTGTCTGGAAACTACACAATGTGTGACCTTCTACATTGTTAAAACCATGTTTACTGTTTTAAGTCTTGCTGACATAGTGGTGCAAAGCTATGATCCTAGCCATTCGACAGATGGAGACAGAGGATCAGTAATGGCTAAGCCAGCATTAGGCCAGTTTAGGCCATGAGAACCTCTCTCCAAAACAAAACAACCAAAAAGAACAGGAAGTTGACCTACACAAATCTTATTCCGAAATGCTGTCATCTGATGTAACTAACTATTCATCAACTGGGGACTTGTTTGTCTGGGGCAACTGGGGACTTGTTTGTCTGAGGCTGTAAATATATTTTTATTCTAAGCACATTAGCAAAACTTATTTTTTCAGAAAATGTCCACTGTGGATGTCAAATTATATTCCTAAGTATTTTGTACTTTATTGTATAAGTTTTTTAAGAAGTCTTGTTTTATACTTTTGTTAAACTGAATGGAGTTTTTGGAAGATGTCTTGACATTACTTTTCATACTTGAAATAAACATTTATTTTTTTAAAAGAACTACAGTCAAAATCTTCCTTGGTTCCATTTCTCTTTGTTTTTTCTTACCCTCACTAATAGACACATTTAGATAAGTTGGGCATGGTGGCACAACCCTCAGGAAGCTAAGGCAGCCTTTGCTATAGAGGACACAGAATGTTTACCTAGGAAAGCATTGGTTATTTTTAGAAAGTTCTTCCCTCTTTCAGTGATGCAAATGGAATTCTAGACCTCGTGCACCGTTAAGTGCTCTGCCACTTAACTACACCCCTATTTCTTTTAAAGCCCTACTGTTGTATATATAAAGCATTGAAAATACATTGTTATGCAAAGAGTTCCTTGTACATTAAACTTCCATGTTGCCACTAAATCTTGTAGGCAACGCCCACTTACCAGCTTTCTATACAATATCAAGGAATACACATGATTATTTGAAAATGCTTTTGCACTTTTTTTCCATGAAAAGAAAAAAACACTGAATGGAAAAGATTGCTGCTGATTCAAAAATAGTTTGGACTAGATAACCAAGATACCGTCTTGATCCAAAGAAAAGGTACATTTATATGAAGTCAGATTTTTCTTCACAGTAAATTTGCCTTAGAACTTTCTATTGCTGTGAAGAGACACCACTATCATAGCAACTTAGAAAATGTTTAATTGAGGTGGGGCCTTACAGTTCAGAGATTTCATCCATTACCATGATGGGACATGTCACTGTGTAGACAGCCATGGTACTGGGAGAAGAGCTGAGAGTTCTACATCTTGACCCACAGGAAGTAAGTTTACACTGAGCTGTGAGCTTGAGCATACATGTGACCTCAAAGCCCACCTCCACAGCCACACCTCCAACAAAGCCACACCTACTCCAGCATCCCCTATGGGCCAACCATATGGCGGCCATTTCTGTTCAAACCATCATATTCCACTGCCTGGCCCCTGTGAGCTTGTAGCCATAACAATGCCAAACACATTTAGGCCACCTTCAAAAGTCCCTACAATCCACCACAGTCTCAACAATTTCCAAAAGTCTAAAGTTTGAAGTCTTCTCAGATTCATGCAATCTCTTAACTGCAATCCAAGTATTGACTTGGGGCTGCAATTGGATCCAGCCTAGCAGCCTCAAGTCAATACGGAGTGGGGGAATGTGCATAAGGGAAAGGCTAGCTATAGATGATGAAGAAAAGACAGAGACAAAATACAGATCAGGAGGCCAGATCAGTCAAAACTGAAATGCCACGAAATTATTTTCACCATTCTTATATACCTTAACCAAAAGAGAACACAGTATCATGTATAGGGAACGAACAGACTTTCTCACTTATTTTAAGCGTTCAGTAACCACACGGTAGCTCCAACTTCTTGTTCCCTAGCCTTGAGGTGAGGAGTAGCCACACACTCCAGATCCAACTTCTTCCCTAGCGTTGAGAGTCAGGAGTAGCCACACCATCAGATTTAGGTCTGTTGTTATTTAGACTAAGACAACCAAACATCCTACTGTAGCCACCACACCTCTGACCTTTAGGTCTTGTGACTTGATGACTGCTTTGAACTCTGTCCTTGTGCCAAGATGCAGTGTAGCCATCTTATGGGTACCCACATTTTATTTTAAAAAATCTTATTTTGAGCCACAGTTTCTATGTGGCTGTTTTGGAACTTTCTCTGTAGACCAGGCTGGTCAGAAATCTACTTGCTTCTGCTAAAGGTGCTGGGCCCTAACGGTGTGTGCCTACCCCCCCCCAGCCCATTTCTTGATCTGTTTATCTTCTTGAACACATGACTTAATTCCAGATATTAAATGGAATAAAGCCTGATGTTAAATATAATAAAAGGACAGCCAAGCTTAGGCAGTGAAGGAAACCATCAAGCCAGAATGCTGGTGAAGATGTAATTGAGTAAGGCAACATTGCTCCAGCCCTGGACCAGTAGCAAACTTGTCAGCTTTAGCCTTGAGGCTTTAGTCAAGGATACAAAAAAGGGTTGTGTGCGGTGATATATTGCTTGTAAAACTAAGCCTGTCTGAAGGTCAGAGAATGGAGTTTACCGCTGGCTATAGAGGTCTGGAGGTCTGTACAGACAGGAAGTTGAGATACCTGCGTGGAAACAGGGTGTAAGCAGGGGAGAAACAGGAACTTGCTCTTGCATGCTGAGTCGCTTAGGAGGTGAGGTATGTTGGTGGCTTGCTCCTTATTCTCTACAGTCAAACATTTCCCTCTATATCTGACTCTGGGTTTTTAATTATCTAAACCAATTAAGATCCTCCATTTACGTTGTCTACCCAATGTGGCCAGAACATTTTACCCCAGAACAGGCAAACTGCCCCACCCAAAGTGTGAGCCGGCCCACAGAAAAAACCGCCAGCACCTGTAGAACTCCGCTCAGTCAGCGGGCCAAGCTTGACTCCCTGGAACTCCCCCTCACCCAGTGCCATTGGGTTATACTATCCCTAGAACCTTTTGCTTTGAATTGGGTGGTTTTATACAACTTTAATTTAGACTAGGGACACACCCCAGGCCCAACCAGAACCAGCACATCCAATTTGATGCATACCTGCTGCTCATGGTTCCAGCCTGCTGCATTCTGATCACGAGTTTCTTCTCCCCCCCCACTTCTCTTTAACAAAAATCTGTTAGGTGAGGTTGTTGAGTTTTTATTTAGAACCCCAAGGTTGGACAATTTTGGAACAAGTCAGATCACAGTTTTGGTGTCCTCGGACTTGCTTTGGGTACACCTACGACAGGCTGGCCAAACATCATCATTGCAACTTAAAGTTATGACTGTAAGAGGCATGAACAACTTTTCTAAGAATTGAATTTGAGGTAAATTACTGGATATTTTTGCATTTTAAGCTATAAATAAATTAACAATTTTCTTACAATTTATTACCTTCCTGCTACAACAATGGCAGATATTACCATATTTTTGCTTCTGTATTGGAAGGAATTTTTTAAAAGAGGTATATGACCTATTTGGAACATATACACTCATGGCCTATTGCTTATTAGCTTGGTAATATATATATATTATATATATATCCTTAAATATATATATTATATGTATATATAATATATATCCTTAAATAAATAGTTTGATAATAGAGCTAAGAACTAGGAACTTATAGAAATTATAAGACACAGACTGGTAATGACAACTTAGCAAAAAGGATAATTTGACAAATAATTCACAAAATGGAACATGGTAATGGACTTTTGTTTGTTGGGTTTTTGTTTTGTTTTGTTTTGTTTTGAGACAGGTTTCTCTATGGCTTTGAGAGGCTGTCCTGGAACTAGCTTCTTGTAGACCAGATTGTTCTCGAACTCACAGATCCACCTGCCTCTGCCTCCCAAGTACTGGGATTGAAGGCATGCGCCACCAGTGCCCAGCTGGTAATGAACCTAATCATTCCACGCAGATAGAGAATTGCTTTTGGAAGGCAATCTGCATACCATACAAGTAATCTCTAAGGGTGAGACTATTAAATCTTTGAATATGTAAATATTAAAGAACAAGAAACTGACTGATTTAATGAAATCATTGGAATTTTTAACAGTTCAGATGGTGCATGAAACATTCTTAAAATTGATGTATCCAGGTTCAGATGGTGGTGTTTCATGCCAGCACTTGGGAGGCAGAGGCAAGTGGATCTCAGTGAGTTTAAGGCCACCCTGGTCTACAAAGTGAGTTCTAGGACAACCAGGACTGTTACATAGAGAAACCCTATCTTGAAAACAAAAAAGCAAAAAAAAAAAACCCCCAACTCCCCTCCCCTGCAGAAAAACCCC